TAATTTTCAGACCAGCACACCCATGGGCGCACAAATGGACGCAAATGCATTTGCTATTTAAACAACGTGGATGATACAGCCCTATATGTCTCTGACAGCGCCTGTAGTCCCATTTAGCAACTTGTTAGCAACCTGTCTTTTCAAAGAAATGTAACAGTTTAAAAAAATCACGAGTGGGGTGTAACTGGTATGTTTTATGCCGTAGAATAAAACGTGAAAATATCTTGAGCTTGTGTGAACCACGGACCTTATTTTAGGGGATTTAACCAAACTCCCGTTCAAAAAACCCATTGACTCTGGGACGATGGAACCGGAAGTGCTAAAATGCTAACTCGCTTCCGGGTTTTTGCCTACAAAGTGACATCATAGTTCCACCACTCTATAACTGAATGAAGAGTTTTTACCATCAGAACCTCATCTGAACCAAGGTTATGTCAGCCATATCAAATGCACGCTCTCCAAACAAACTCGGTGGGAGGTGCTCATTCGTTTCCCTTACAACATGCAGAAAATGTTTTTTCCCTAATTTTAATCGTTCATAAGTTCATTTTTTAAAATTCCCGCCGTTCTAAGTCCACACAGTTGTTCTTTGCACTCCATCTCGCGCTCTGTTTGAACGGTCATAATGCAGCACTGAGCTCAAATAATACATACCAAACTGTATGTTCTCCAGATAAGTTCAGCTTAGTACCGCAAGGGAGAATATTTATATTTATATGGAAAATACTGTGGAACCGCGTGTATTTTGAGGCTTAAGAGTGCCGCGAAACTACCGCGGTCAAGTGAGCCGCCACCTGGATTTTGCTGCATGTGTATGGCCCTGTCCCAAATGGCACCCTAAACCCTTGCGGTCTTCCTCTGAGTCCGCACTTTCGTGACGTAATGCCGCTTTGACTGTTGGGCAGGGGCGGACTGGTCGACGTTCTGGAGAAGTCGTCGACCTGGCTGGTTCATCATCAAAGAAAAAGTGTCAGATTAAGTGACGTTGACGGCCGACAAAAGGCTAATGCAATCTATTTTTGTTTATAAGAAACCGAAACTGACGCGAAGGAGAGTGGGCTCGTGATGGCAAGCAAAAGACGTGAAGATAAAGGTGGCTGGGAGAAGCTAAAAGGAAAAAAAGCGAACAGTTACATCAGATTACCTTTGTCCGCCTCTCTCACTATACACAGCATGTAGCTAGCACTATAGTAAAATCCCAGGACAATCCTAGAGCGTCCACTGCTATTTATCACGCATTGTCTGGCATGAATATTCCATTCATTCATAAAGAGACAGCAGCGATTCTACAACGGGTTACATTTGAGAGCTATTGAGTTAGAAAATTGAGTAAATGAAGTAGCCTAAGGTGATTAGTCTGATTAACATGACACACACACACACACACACACACACACACACACACACATATGAATAATCAAATTGAAAAATTCTGTTGTTTCAGGTTTCTAGATTCTAGGTTTATGTTTATCATTGTCATATACATTTTGCATTCTGCTCTTTTTATGTAGCTTTCAAGTATTTTAGTTCATACAATAATACATTTATTTCAATCTGTTGAAAAAAAAAATAGAAAGCATCACATAATTTGTAATGGTTTTACTGGTTGTAATGAAAATTGTATTGGTTTTAATGGAAACTGTAATGGCGCCTGTTGGTCTCTACTGGTAATTGGTCATGGCTTTTGTTAAAGCACTAAATCCTTATGTAATATAAACACTGCAGGAAACCATTATTTAATAGTTTTAATGGTTAAAAGTTAATGGTTTGCAATGTTTGTAATGGTATTAGTAGTGGAAATCATTCGAATTTCTGTGATTGTTTCTATTGTTTTTGTCAGCAGGGTCACCATGGGTTTTGTGATGTTATTTGCCATAAATGAGATAGGATTGCTGTAATATTGTGAGATAGTAGCGACTGTTTGTATTTGTGGTGGGCCTATTTGGGAGAAAATCCAGGGCCGTTTTTTACTCCCAGTCCGTCCCTGCTGTCTGGTAGAATTCTGCTGCTTAGCTCGCACCAGTGCGGGCTCAGCAGAAGTGCGGATCGAGGGCGCATAACGGCCTCGAAGGTGGCGCTCGCGAGCACCTTTCTGAACGCTAAAATGACAAATGTGACACCCTACGGTCTCGTGGACTTGCGGCGGCCATTGTAAGTTCGTAAGACTGCAAGTGCACATGAAGTGTGCATATTTGTGGAATTAGGGTACGGATACATAAGCGGCCAAAAAGCTGAGGAAGACCTATATTTCAGCGGTTATTAATTAAACGTGCCCAAAAACAAGAAGAATCAATTTAAAAAAGCATATTAATATGGGACATTATAAAAGATACAGTTTACGGTGTAGTTTTGGAGAAAAATAAAGTGTTAAAATACATTATAACACTGATTATTTCCTGTTTTTTTTACATGCATTATTAAAATTCCTTCAGAGTTAACATGAAAATTTCAATTAATTCTCCTTCAGGATACCCAAAAACTGTCAACTTTCACTGGGTTTTACTGTAGGATTTGGGAGAAAATTAAAGCCAAACTCTGTCACAGTACATCATAACACAGACCATTTCTTGATATTTATACAGGCATTATTAAAATTCCTTCAGAGTTAACATGAAAATTTTAATTAATGATTCTTCAGGACACCCAAGACTCCCTGTCAACTTTCACTGGGTTTTACTGTAGAGTTTGGAAGAAAATTAAAGACAAAATCTGTCACAATGCATTGTCACAACAGGCTAGGAGACACAGAGGTAATTGGTCAAACAGCGGTCTTTATTGAATGAAACGATGGCGTGAACCAGGTGGTGATGAGTGGTAAGTGAAGCACACAGTTAAAGGGTTCAGAAAGCTTAGCTTGCGGTAACAGTTCGTGGCTTTCTGGTAGGAATCACAGGAACGGTGGAGAAACAGGAACGTCCGGGGTAGGCAACACAGAGGTAGTTAGAATAAGTCAGGCTAGGTTCAGTGATGTGAACAATAGACCAGACGGTGATCTTCTTCTTCTTCTTCTGTTTATTGGCGGTTTTTCCATATTCCCAACTTTTTAAAAATATTGCTTTAGTAGGGTGTTCGACGGTGATCTTGTGAGAGGTGAGCACAGATATAGGGGATCTTGATTAGCTGCAGCAGGTGCGGGGAATCAGAACGCAAGGTGATTGTGATCTTGTGAATGTCGGTGCTGATGACTGTGATGACTGAGGTTGTGAGCCGGGGAGGATTGTGGGACATGGAGTCCAGAGATGGTGACTGGTGACAGAGGAGCTGCGTCCGAAATCGCATACTTCCATACTATATAGTACGCGAAAAACAGTATGCGAGGCGAGTAGTATGTCCGAATTCATAGAATTCGAAAAACAGTAGGCGAGAAGTACCCGGATGACCTACTACTTCTTTAATAGATTGAGAAGAGATCATCCTCAGATAGACACAATGACTGCAACAGAAGCAACTTCTGCTTCATTTCTTGCCACAGTACCTCTTGCAGTTTGGGCATGTGTCACATTGAGTGGCGAACCCACAGCAAGAAGCATGCAGGATCCATGGTGTAACACATTGGCTGTGTTCGAAATGGCATACTTGCTTACTACTTACTGCCCAGTACACAGTGTGTATACAACAGTATACAATAAGCAATAAATGTTTCAGAGTAGTATGCTTAAGTGCTGTCACATGACAAACACTGAACATTAATTCAGCACAGCTGTCAAGGTTGTTACCTTAGAAACAAATGAGCTAACTGTTCTTTTAATAAGGCTTCATACTAGTAAACAATGCTATATTGCCCAAAACTCATTTCACAATTGATTAACTTTACATATTGGACATAACTAAATCAACACTGAGCTGTCTTTATTGATATTGTTGGTAGTTACACTAAGTGGCGATAGCCATGGTCAGAATCTGACTTCAAAGCAGCGATGAGGGACATGATGATGGACTGTCGTGAAAGGGTCAGATCCATCTTCGAAATACAATCGAAGAATTGGAACAGCAGCATTCAGGCAGCAGTAGGTTGTAGGGCTCACAGTCTGTAAGTGTGTGTGTATATTTTAGAATATGTATATTATATAAAATATGTATATTATTTATTTATTATGTTTATATTATTTATTATATTATTTTATGTATATATTGTATCTATCTATAATATTTATTTAGGCTATCGTTGCTCCAAATGAGCCTCTGTCATGGTGTTCACAGACATGACTTTTTATTCTGAGGTCAAATTTGCTTGCTAAATAGGTGATTGTACTTACCTTATTTGATAAATGATTTGCAAGCTGTCGACGAAGGCCGATCTCTCCGCGTGCGTCACTTCTGAGCCGCGCATGCGCAAAGCTCACCTCATTCCCCCGGAGCTGCTTCCGTGTACAACGGTGAGTTCATACTACTCTCATTCATACTATATAGAACGTACTTTTTTAACGGTCGAGTAGTACGTTCAAATTGAAATGTAGTACCTACTAAGCAGTATGCGATTTCGGACGCACCCAGGCTGTGTTCGAAATGGCATACTTGCTTACTACTTACTGCCCAGTACACAGTGTGTATACGCTTTTTATTTCACGTCTTTTGAACCGAAGGAATGCAACACCCGCTGAGTACAACGATAGAGCTTGAAAGATCAAAGACAATTTTTAATATAACTCCGACTGGATTCGTCTGAAAGAAGAAAGTCATATACACCTAGGATGCATCGGGGGTGAGTAAAACGCAGCCTAATTTTCATTTTTGAGATAAGATCTCTATGTGGAGCGATGGCTGTTGTCAGACTCCTTGTGCATGCAAAAATCTAAAAATTCTTTATTTTCTATAATAAGATCAAAAAAGTTATGTTAAAAGACAAGAACACATTACAAACAAATTCGTGAGTGGCCTGCTTCCACTGAGTACACATTTGAAAGCACACATTAAAATGACAAATTAAATAAACCAATGCCACTAAGAATAACTACTCGTACAGTATTAAAAAAAAGCATTGAAACCCCCCCCCAAAAAACATTCTGTATTCTGTGTCATTGTACTATGAGCTGCAGAACTGAAGTGCATGACCTTATTGACAGTGGAAGGAGTACTCCGTCTCCGACTGATCACCTGAAGGAAGAAGGTAATATCAAGACACAAGTTAATAGAAGGCTCTGGCCTGGGTCATTGTACAGTTGTTCACTGCAGTAAAGCAAGTCTTCATATGCATAATTGCAATAGATTTTTCATTAAAAATAGTGTATGTATACAGATACAGTCAGGTCCATATATATTTTGGACACAGGCACAATTTTTATTATTTTAGCTGTTGACCAAAACATATTCAAGTTACAGTTATATAATGAATATGGGCTTAACGTGCACACTCTGAGCTTTAATTTGAGGGTTTTCTCATCACAATTGTAGTGAAGGTTAAGGAATTACAGCTCTTTAATATGTACCTCCCCCTTTTTTCAAGGGACCTTAAAGGGGTCATCGGATGCCCATTTTCCACAAATCCGTCTACTTTAAGAATTATTGGTTTGGAAATTGTAACTGGATCGATTAGAAAGGGTGATAGATTACAAAGACTTCTACAAAGGGAAGCCTTTTGGATTTTTCAGCTAAAAGCCACCATTTTTCCTGGTTTGAATGAGGAATTAGATTTAACTCCATATTTGTGAAATGATTATCAGTATGATTATTATTACTATTATTATCAAGATATATATATATATATATTAGTCTATTACATACTTTGGTTAAAATTTCTCAATGGTAGTGTAAAAAACACCCTTTTTACCCTGTCAAAATCGCCTCTGTTTTCAGTACGCCGTTCTAGTCCGTGTTGCTTTAAACGCATTTAGGCAGATCGGGGATCGGCGCATTCCTTTCAAAAACGAAAGTAACGTTAATCCTCTGCGTCTTCAGCAGCTCAGATGTCGGGAGTAAATGACGACTGCTAAGTTCATTATTACATCCAGCAACAAAACATCTCAATCACTTAATTGGAGACATTCTTGTCTTCCCCTGCACTGGAGTCGTCATTATGGCAGACAGCTCACAGCTCACTCAGGGTGCTTAAGGTAAGACGGACCTGTCAATCAACTATTGTGGGAGGGGCCTGTGCAGAACTACGTCATTCTGACAGGAATCTCAGAACAGCCTGATTTGAGAAAGAGGATTTTAAAATAGGGATTTTACAAAATCCACTGGGTGGATTTTTATCATTATAGGGTGGATGTGTACACACACTTCCAACACACTTTTATGTTCAAATAACAACAAAAGTGAATTTAGCATCCGATGACCCCTTTAAGTAATTGGACAGTTGACTCCAAAGCCATTTCATGGACAGATGTGGGCTATTCCTTAGTTATTTCTACATCAATTAAGCAGGTAAAAGGTCTGGAGATGATTCTAAGTGTGCCATTTGCATTTGCATCATGCAGTCAAATGAGCTGCAGGTGAAACAGACAATTGTCAGGCTTCAAAAACAAAACAAATCCACCAGAGAGATAGCTGGAACATTCAGAGTGGCCAAATCAACAGTTTGGTACATTCTGAGGAAAAAAAGAATGCACTGGTGAGCTTAGCACCATAAGAAGGCATGGACGTCCACGGAGGACAACAGTGGTGGATGATCGGAGGATCCTCTTCATGGTAAAGAAAAACCCTTTCACAACATCCAGCCAAGAGAAGAACACTCTCCAGGAGGTAGGCATGTCACTGTGAAAGTCTACAATAAAGAGAAGACTTCACCAGATCAAATACACCGGGTTCACCACAAGGTGCAAACAAGGCCAGAATTAGACTTTGCCAAAAAAGACATCTAAAAAAGCCAGACCACTTCTGGAAAAGCATCCTTTGGACAGCTGAAATTAAGATCAACCTGTACCAGAATTTACGGGAAGAAAAAAGTATGCGAAGGCTTGGAACAGCTCATGATCCAAAGCATACAACATCATCTGTGAAACATGGTGGAGCAGTATAATGGCATGAGCATGCATGGCTTCCAGTGGCACTGGGTTACTGGTGTTTAGTGATGACGTGACAGAGGACAGAAGCAGCCGGAAGAATTCTGAAGTGTAAAGGGATATACTGTCGGCCCAGATTCAGTCAAATGCAGCAAAGTTGATTGGGCAGTGCTTCATAGTACAAATGGATGATGATCCAAAACATACAGCAAAAGCATCCCAAGAGTTTTTGAAGGTAAAAAAGTGTAATATTTTGCAATGGCCAAGTCAATCTCCTGACGTCAACCCAATCGAGCATGCCTTTCACTTGCTGAAGACAAAACTAAAGGCAGAAAGACCCACAAACAAACAACAACTGAAGTCAGCTGCAGTAAAGGCCTGGCAAAGCATCACTGATGTCAATGAGTTCCAGACTTAAGGCAGTCATTGC